AGTTGAAATATGATGCATTTTTATCTGTTCATACAATGAATAAGGAATTTGGCTTTAAAATTACCACTCCTCTAAAGAAAAGAATTTAGGGAGGTATCGTCTGTGGTCATGGGTACTTCTGTAACCCTGCTTGGACACCTACTACTACCTGTTAGTGTGGCAGTGGCCAGTCATTTTTTCAGATGCTACAGAAGCTTTGTTGCAGGTTTTATTCAGTAACGTTAGGGTTTATTATATACTTTGTACTGCTAATGAAGTTAGGCTTTTTAAAAAAGTATATGTGTATAATTTATTTTAGTGTCAGACTAGGTTAATATTATGAAATATAGAATCTGCAGGTTACATTATGTTTTACACTACACACTATCATAATTCAGTGTTATAAACACATCAGTAGGATGAGTCAGTCTTGGACCCTAGGGAGGTGTGAGTATTAATAATATCAAAGTGATTTTGATGTACCTCATGTATACTGAGCCTGCATCAGGATGCCAAGCAGAGCTCTATTATCAATGCATTCATATATTTCATACTTTGGTCCAACTTTAAGCAGATTGTATCACTTATTCAACACAACTTCTTGAGTTCCTGTGCAGTGTTGGTTGCTTTCGCAGGATGTAACGAAACAGATGTTACTGCCATATTACAGCAGAGGAAACTGTGGCCAAGGGAAGTGAACTGAACTGCCCAGAATCCCAAAGCTAATAAGTGTTGAAACCCAAATCATAGATGCAAGTCTTAAGGAAGGCACATATAAACTGTATTTACTCTGAGTCTAGTTTCTGTCCATTAAAAATTTTTTTAGAATTCTGTGAAATTATGGAACTTTTCATCTTATGTCCATCACAGTGGTGGTTCTCAGATCCTGGGTAGGGAACCTGCAGTGACTAGGTACTCATGGAACTTTTAAAAAATACGGATCCTAATTCACCCAGATTCACAGGATTAAAATCTCTGAGCATAGGACCTAGTGTATATATTTTGAAAAACTTTCCAGATGGTTCTCATGTCTACCCTCGATTAAGAACACCAATGAAAGCCAACACTGCAAATCTAAAGTTCTATTTTAAGGAATTTTTGGCTTAGGTTGGGTTTCCATTGGCTCATTATTTGTGCAATATTTTAACAGCTCATTATTTGTGGACTTGGAAAGATAGATGTTAATGACTGGAAGGTAAACACCCGGTTAAAACACTGTACACCAGACAGCAATGTCGTCAAGTGGTTTTGGAAGGCTGTGGAGTTTTTTGATGAAGAACGACGAGCACGGTTACTTCAGTTTGTGACAGGCTCATCCCGAGTGCCTCTGCAGGGCTTCAAAGCTTTACAAGGTAAGAAAGCCAGAGGGACAGACGATGTGGCATCTAATAATTGGGGGCAGGGGGTCAATATTTGGTGTACATAGATGGTGTACAAACATGTGCTTACATACAGATTCTCTTTTCACTCTAGTTCTTATCTGTAACTCTCATGTCTTGATACCTTCTTCTCCTTCCTTTCCTTTGTTCCCTCCCAAGAGCCTTTTCTGCTGGGTTCTCTGTGATTGTAGTGAGTGCCGCATGTTAGAGACCATATGTGTTGATGCTCTGCCTTTTCTTTTCTGGTCACCTTGCTTTTAAATTCTTTTGCACATTCCTGTAGGGGAAGTCTGTCTGCTTCCATGTTCACATCTCAACCTGGCAAACATTTACCCACTTGGGATGCCTCTCCCCACTACGTTTTTATTCTTTCAATAGAAAGAGGCAGCATGAGTCGTGGAAGTCATTTGTTTGGTCAGAGCACTTTAATTAATGCATGGCATCAGACCATTTTACAGCCATATTCCATTTTTAAGAATTGTTGTCCATGGAATAGCTGTTTAATTTTGGGAGGAGTTGGTATATTGCTTATGATCGTGGTGCCTCACTGGGTGGCAGGTGCTTCCTTTACCTCTGAAGCTCTTTATTTTCACAACTGCTGCTGCTGGTGATGACTGAGGGTGTACGAAGCAAGACTGGTACATAATTCAACAGTGTTGCCCACAGTCCATATATCAAAAATCCATTGGGAAAGCATACTTTAGTCATGCTTGCATTCCCTATTTGGAGAACTCATCATTATCAGACTACCCAGATGAATAAAGTGAAGTTGTATTTCTACAAACGTTTGTATGGGGTGCCTTATGTTACCTGAAATTTATTCTAGAGACTGCTAATCTTTTGCTCTCAGTGAAGTTTGAGTTGTGAAACTTAAATTTGCATTAGGTTGTCATCTTTTTGAATGTGTATATATGTATTGGATCTTGGATTTGCCCATTTACTTCTTTTTTGGGACACTGATTTTCTGTAGAAGATAGAAGTTGGCAAAGGATTTCAATCCTGAACTTTTTCTCAAATTGAAATGCTAGCAGGTTAAGGAATCCAGCCTTATCCAAGGTCAATTCCAGCTTTTAAAACCCAGACTGTTTTCCTGCTGCCCTTTGGCAGCTTATATGGTGTCACTAGTATCCTCCTATCCCTCGACCCTGTGGTTTATATACCAGTTTTATCCTGAGATTCTGGAGACTAATACGTGCACCCACAGTATTAGTGGGTCTGACCCTCATTTGCTCCCTTTGCAGGTGCTGCAGGCCCACGACTCTTTACCATACACCAGATTGATGCCTGCACTAACAACCTGCCAAAAGCCCACACTTGGTAAGTTATTTCTGTAGCTTTTTTCCCTCATTCCATGTATGTAGCTGTTAGTTCCAAACAGATTTGACAATTCGTTTGTTGTTCTTATTACTAAATGGACCCTTAAAAGAGTTGCTTATCATTCCTTTTAAGTGAATTAAGATTACCCAGAAATTGGTCGGAAAACCCCAAAGCAATAATCTCTACTTGAGAGAAATATAACCTTTTTCTTGTCATTTTCTATGTGACACAAAGAGTAATGTGGCTGTATTAGGGTAAACGAATTAGTATACACTTGCTAGGCCAGTTGACCTGTTTTGAATGAACTGTGTAAAATCTGATTTGCTTAATTACAGCTTCAATCGAATAGACATTCCGCCCTATGAAAGCTATGAAAAGTTATATGAAAAGCTGCTAACAGCCATTGAAGAAACATGTGGATTTGCTGTGGAATGACAACTTCAAGGATTTACCCAGGACTCTATTTATACCCTGACTGACAGCCTCCTTTCAGCAGTTTCAAGGAACGCTGACATACAGGAAAATGCACCCCCCTTTTTAAAAAAAATTTAGGATACTGTGAGGGGAAAGGACAATTCTGAAATTCCTTTTCAAGGAAAAAAAGGTCTTTATGCTTTGCCATGAGGCCACATTCAGCTGCTATTTAAAATTAATATCTTGAACCTAAAGAATGCTGACTTTTCCTACATTTCCAGAGTTAGGCAGTATTCTACACTTAAAGACTACTACTATTTTTATAAAAGGTAATCTATTCAAATCGCTTCACAGATTTCAACTCTATCAAACATCAAGACAACTTCAGCAGTCGGTACAAGTCACATTTCATTTTGGTTGAATACATGATTTTGAACAGCTCCTGTACTTGCTCTTTGTTAAAAATAAAATAAAATTATTTTGAATTATTCTAACTTTGTAAACAATTGGCTATAAAAGAATCTTTAAAAAATTAAGCCATTTACATGTTTAATTACATTTTTCTATAGCAAAGCATTATATTTTAAAAGCATTATATGTTTCAACCTAGCCTAAGTGAATCTTTTTTTATATTTTTCAAGCATGAATTCCATGGAATACGGCTATATAATTTTGGTTGTCAAATTCTTAATGCAACCAGTTAGTCTGAACTTAGTAGCTTATTTGCTACAGTAAGATGCATTCAGGGGCTCCCTGTTTTTAAGAGACTTTAAAAAAAAATCTTAATTTTTTATCTTGAATGAATATGATCGGGTATTTTGCATTTACTTTGCATCTTAAATGGAAAGACTGCATTTTTATAGCTACTCAGATCATGTGGATGGGATGGGATTTTCATTCTTTTATTGGGTCAGCTTATCTTTGATATATATACTATTTCTGTAAACCAAAGTCTCCTGTGACAAGTGCACCTAACTTATATTACATTTTAATTATGGTAAGTTTCTATCAAGTAAACCATCCTGAATCTCTGTTTAGCTGCTCATATTTTAATCAGATAAAATTACGAAAAGGAAAAATTTTGCTCTAAAGATTATTTAGCAAGCTTAGAAAACCCTGCTTTTACCTAAAATGAAGTGGGGTGGTGGGGCAGGGATGTGATTACTAACAAGCGATTCTGACTTTATCGCAGACAGTACTTTTCGTCTGAAGAGTGATTTTGGAGGTAAGGGAATCCCAGTTCGCTTGGTGTTGAAGATCAGCATTTGATTTTGAAATATCCATATTTAGCTTTCAAGGTGTGTGGCATGTTGCGTGATCCAGAAGGCAACCACAATTCTGGAGTGAGAGACTGGAAAAATCTGAAATCATGGGTGGATTTTTAAATTCAAGTACCAGAAATCTGCACTATTTTTTTTTTTTTACATTGTTGTGAAATCAAGAACAGCAATTTTGATGAGATAGCTTTGTTTAAATTTTGCAGCTTAATTATCAAGTGAATAAGCCCCTTGTGTTCTTTCGTTTGATGGATTGGTTTTCAGTCTGTGTTCTTGGAGCCAAGGGGCTCCTCAGAGGTGCCTCAGAAGTAATGGTTGAGAGAGGAGGGACGAAGAGAGAGGGAGAAGAAACGTAGCTGGTACTTGAGCAGGGGCCTCCAACTCCCCACCCCTCTTTACCCAGAGCAGCTCCGACTTTTCTCTTTTATGTACATTGGAATTCCACGTAAGCTTTCATGGGGGCTAGGAGGGGTGGGGGGATGGGCAGAATAAAAGAGGTGGAAAATTTGCTGCTTAAAAAAAAGTTGAGAACTACTCCTGTCGTTTCTAAGTATTTAAATTTATTTTATTCAGCCAAATTTGACAGCCATACAAGCTGGTTACAGTCATAACTGTGTAGTGGCGATGTGCTTATGCTGGCCTTTTTCTTCCCACTCTGTTTTCCTACTGCATTATTAGTAGTACCGAAGAACTTCTTAAAACATACTGTTTGATCATCAGTAGTTTTCAGCTTTCACGATAGTACCTTATTGGTTGCAGGTCCATCTCTCTCTTATATGGAAGCACTAGCGCAGTGTAACTGTGCCTATTATAATCTTTCAGTAATAGTAAGTACATGATGAACGCTTTAGAGAAATCATAACTGACGGATGCAGTAATAATGAAATGCTACTCTCATACTAATGTACAATATAGAGCAGGCAAATACCATCGCTTTTTGAGTGCCTTCTTAATTTTATAATGACTTAATAAAGCTTTAAAAGAAATAAATTATCCTCCCTTACAGTCTATGGTATCACCAACATAATTTATAAGAACAGGATGATTTAGATTTCATTTTCAAAGTTATGTTACCTGATCACTTCCAAATAGGTGCTAAGCAAACAAAACGTGCCAATGTATCATTGAACCTTGGACTTGCACCTCATGTGTAATGTGAATATTTATTTCCACATGTCCCTCTCAGCTGGGTCTTTTCTAATCCTTCCTCTAGTTTTATTTCAGATTTGTGATATCATGTTTCCATACATTGCCTTTCCATCATGAATACTTAATTATGAACAATGGTTACTTTGTAGAGCTCATATGCAAAACAGAGGTGAGTTTTGTTTCTGAGGGTCTTACTTCTTTGGTGTAAAGAGTTTTTAAATAGTGCTGTGTATAGTGTACATTTTGTTTTGCACATAGTTTGTTGCCCTGAATGGGTTTTGTTTTTACCAAGTCTTTTATTTTTTCCTTGTAATTACACTCCAGAGCACAAGTTTCCTTTCTTTCAAATACAAGGTAATTTGCTTTATTTTACAACACTAAGTCTGCTTGAACTTCTGGTGCATCAAGCTGATTGCATTGATGGGAGTTAGAGATTGTTCCAGACATCTTTACAGTTTGATAGAGCAGCTCCTTCTGCTTCTGTCTTTAGGCTGCAGCACAGTCAATGGGTGCCATTTGTAGTATTTAATGTACTTACATTAGGATGATGATTGTACCAAATGCTGAGTTGTTTCTAGATGTAATTAGTTCACTTAATGTAATATTCTTCCTTCTCTCAAACTGACTTTAAAAACAAAGTTTTATCATTTTCATTGTATTTGTATTTATTACAGAGTGTTTTAGCTTTGATATTCTTTGTATTTTCACTCAGTTGTTACATGAGCTTTATCAATAACATCTGTATAAATGGTTTTTAAGAATTAACTATGTATGTGCCCATGCCGAAGTTGAGCAATAAAATGAATGCTGTTTGCACTGTCACAGCATCAAAGTTTTTAAAGAATATTGAGTTTATAATGAATTGTTTTGAAGAAATTTGATTGGGTCTATGAAGAGTGACAGCATACGAGCCATAATATGTGAAGTTTAAGATTCACGGGCCTTCCTTAGTTGATGCCTTTGTCACATGGTAGAGCCTCAGAGGGCTCAGGACCCCCTTTCTGTCTCCAGGTTGAGCAGGGAAGGTGCTTGTTTTCCCCTGCCATGGCACATCCTTAGGTTGGCAGTGGCTCTTAGGGGGCAATGGCCTGTAACAACTGTCACAGGCTCTGGAGGGCAGAGCTATGACCGGGGCCTCATTTGCTACCTTGGTGTTGAGCAGTAAAATCCTCAAAATGAAATGCAGAAGTCAGTTATATTTTTCCAAGAAGCCGTGACTTCTTGGGTCATGATTCACAATTCTATAAATATAGTGGATTAAAGTCCAGCTAAATATGTGGGTGGAAAAAGAACTGGATACGGTGTTTTTTCATCAAGAATAGTCCGTGTAAGTCTCTCCACAGCGTAGGCCATACAGAAAGGAATGTCTGGGAGATGCAGTGGAAGCAGTGGTGTATTAAAGTTCCAAAAGTAGGCATGGGGTCCATTTTTTACATCCTTTTGCAATGTATTTTTTTGCTTTGCCTCCCACTGCCAGTTTACAATTGGTTGTGATCTAAAATTTATAAATTTGTAGTACATTAAGGATTTAGTGTTATCATCTATAAATTACCCAAAAGTTTGAGCAATATGTGACATTTTTCTGCTCTGTGGTGACATGAAAGATTTGTCCTTTCATTATAATGAAGGTTAACCTTCGCACCCACTGCATTTATTTGTACTTTATATCCCAAATGCTTATTGCAGTATATGCATAGCAGAACTGAGGTAATTATACAGAAAAAGGGTTAAATCCCTGTTAATATTCTTAGAAAACTAGACAGATCAGATTTTTTAAAGTTATATTTCATTAAAAGGTATGTGCCCTAAACGTGACTTGTTCTTTGTCCACTCAGCAAATATCTGCTGTGCTCCTACTATGTGTCCAGCTCTGTACCAGCTTTAGGGATTAGCTTTGGATGGTTGTTAAAAAACTGAACTTCCAAACTAGTGCTTCTAGTGTTATCTCGGTAGATGCTGAAGTGCAAACTGAGGTACTCAGAACTCAGTTTGTGTACAGCAAAGAAGTTGGTCATGACAGGAGCACAGGATTAAATACCTCACCTAAGCAAGGCTTCAAATCCCAGACTTGGTTTTTAAAACAGTTGGTTTGTTCCCCCATCCCCCTTTCCCCATGACATCTCAGATCCTAGCATACCTTTTGTGGATATTCGGGCTGGTTTTATCTAGGTTATCAAAATAGTCTGAGCTGTAAACCCCACTTCTCTCTTACAGTGTTTTGTAAGCAAAGGAGGTGGAGAGGCAACTGTAGCAGCCTGTGGGGTGGGTAAGCGATCCATCCAAGATTTTCCTCTTGCTGACTTAAGTGTTTATGAAGTCTTTTGATTTTCAGCCCAGGAAAGTAAAGATGGAGAGCACATCACACTCAACCTTTGAGACCACTCACTCCTCCCAAAGACGATGCTGGCATGGCAAGAAGGTGGAGAACCATCGACACCAGAAGGACAAAGTTTTGCTTTTTAACTGAGGTACGACTGACATACCACATTATATAAGTTTCCGGTATACACCATAATGATTTGATATTTGTGAAATGATCACAAATAGTCTAACATCCGTCACCACACAGTCATAAAATTTTCTTTTCCTGTGATGAGAACTTTCAAGATCTGTCTTAGCAACTTTCAAATATGCAATACGTTGTTAGTTATACTCACCATGCTGTACATTACATCCCTATGACCTATTTTATAACTGAAAGTTTATACCTTTTGGCCTCCCTTCACCCATTTTGTCCATTCCCCATCTCTGACAACCACCAGTCTGTTCTCTGTATCTATGAGCTTGGTTTTGGGGCGTGGGTTTGTTTTTGTTGTTTTAAATTCCACATATAAGTGAGACCATATGGTGTTTGTCTTATTTTACTTAGCATAATGCCCTCAAGGTCAATCGTGTTGCAAATGACAAGATTTCCTTTTTTTAAAAAAAAAAAATAGCTGAATATTTTATTGTGTACATACACATTTTATCCATTCATTCATCGGTGGACTTTTAGGTTGTTTCTGTATCTTGGCTATTGTATATAATGCTTCAGTGAACATGGGGGTGCAGACAGCTTTTCCAGTCAGTGTTTCCATTTTCTTCAGATAAATACCCAGAAGTGAAATTGCTGAGTCATATGTTAGGTCTGTTTTCAATTTCTTGAGGAACCTCCACAATTTATATTCCCACCAATAGTGCACCAGGGTTCCCTTTTCTCTACATATTTGTCAACACTTCTTTTTGGTAACAGCCAGCCAAACGGTTATGAGATGATCTCTCATTGTGATTTTGATATGTGGTTTTGTTTTGCATTTCCCTCATGATTAGTGTTGAGCACCTTTACATGTACCTGTTGACCCTCAGTATATCTTCTTTGGAAAAACATCTATTCGGTTCCTCTGCCCATTTTATAATTAGATTGTTTGCTGTTGAGTTGTATATGTGCTTTATGTATTTTGGATATGAATCCCTTATCAGATGTCTGATTTCCCCATTGCCTTTTCATTTTGTTGATGGTTTGCTTTGCTATGCACAAACTTTTTGATTTGATGTAGTCCCACTTGTTGATTTTTGCTTTTGGTGTCAAATCCAAAAAGAATCATTGCCAGGACTGATGTCAGTGAGCTTACCACCTTTTTCTTCTAGGAGTTTTATGGTTCCAGGTCTTAAAGTCTTAATCCATTCTGAGTTAATTATTTGTGTATGGTTAAGACAGTGGTCCAGCATCATTCTTTTGCATGTGGCTGTTCAGTTTCAGTATTTATTAAAGAGACTGTCCTTTCTCTGTTGTATATTCTTGGCTCACTTGTCATTAATTGATTATATACTCGTGGGTTTATCTTGGGCTCTCTGTTCTGTCCCATTAATTTGTGTCTTTTTGCCAATACCATGCTGTTTTGAGTACTATAGCTTTGCAATATAGTTTGAAACCAGGGAGCCTCATGCCTCCAGCTTTGTTCTTCAGGGGGCAAAGTTTTAAATGCAGTTCAAATTTAATGTTTTTTTTAAGATAAGAAACTGGTCACATCAGTCAAATTCTGGGTAATGGTTCAAATGGCTTGAAATGCCAGATAAAACATGTTTTCAGCATGTCTGGATTTGGGATCTAATAGATTACTCTATAAGATGCAGCTTAAACCCCAATTTTGGATTCCTTCTTTATACCATTTCTCTTAATGACATCATCTTCTGTCTGCCCTGCCTGTCTCTCTCTCCCATTGCAGACTCCCCCTAACCGTTTTTCAATGTGATGCCTCTTTCCATTGTGAATAAATTTCCCCTATACCCTTAGTTCCCTCACTAAAGGCTCTATTCTCCTGCCTTACCTCAACACAGGTTCTCTTTTCCTCCTTACATTTTATAGGAGAGGCAGGTAATTTCTCCAGTGCCCCACGTGATATAGTAATGCATATATACAGCTAGACATACATAGTTTAAAAAAACAACATAGTTCTCATTACAAGTTAAAAAAAATCTGTGTGAGGTTAAGAGATGTTAACTAAACTTGAATCATTTGATGTACACTTATCAAATCATTGATATATAAAACTGTGTAAGTTTATATATCAATTATATCATTAAAACTGGGGGAGGGTGACTCTTCATCACCCTTTCCCCTCATCCCTAGTCTTGCTTTCCAGAAGCTACTATTCCTAAACTTTCTGTCAGCTCTTCTGGTATTTCTGCATTTCTAAATGATATGGTTAATAGCACACTTCATTAATTTTAGAATCTTTTTTGGGGGGTGGGGTGGGGGAGATTTAAAAATTTAGTTCTCACACCAACCACCTCATTCTGTAACACCTCCATCCCCACCCTATACAGTTATAGTTATAGTTCTAAATAACTTTTCAAATGCATGACTATGATGTGCTTTTCCTGGGTTCTTCTGGGCAAACTGGATTCACATACCGTCCTCTCTCCACTGGTACTTGGATAGCAACACCCCTCCACTTGCTTAGTTACCACTTCATTTGTTATCTGTTTTTCAAAAATGCATTGGCATCTTTTATTTTTGTTTCCTCTCCTATTCTTTGACCTTTGCTTGGCAGTCCCATCCCTTTCCTGGTAAATTCCCTCACTTTTTCTTCTTTTTGGTTAGTCCCAATTAGTTTGGTAAAGAGCTAGTAGAAGAGTCCTCCTAAAACATTAAAAAATTAAAACAAGTGTAATGATGCCTTTATAACAAATTCAAATAGTATATTAAGCAGAGTGAAAGTTTATATAATGTACCAGAGTCACAACTACTATTACATTTGGGGACTGTTCTTCCAGACCTTTTCTACATTGTATTGATTATACTGCATTATAACCACACAAGGACGGCTAGAAGTCCAGTGTGCTATCCATCATGCCACAGAGCCAGTTATTCTGCATTATATATGATACCCGTTCATACCATAGCTTTTTAAAGACTTGCTCATTTTACCCAAGGATATAATGTATTATTATTATTTTTTTGGCTGCATTGGGTCTTCATTGCTGCGCGTGGGCTTTCTCTAGTTGCGGCGAGCAGGGGCTACCTTTGTTGCATTATTCTGCATTATATATGATACCCGTTCATACCATAGCTTTTTAAAGACTTGCTCATTTTACCCAAGGATATAATGTATTATTATTATTTTTTTGGCTGCATTGGGTCTTCATTGCTGCGCGTGGGCTTTCTCTAGTTGCGGCGAGCAGGGGCTACTCTTTGTTGCAGTGTGCGGGCTTCTCATTGCAGTGGCTTCTCTTGTGGTGGAGCACGGGCTCTAGGTGCACAGGCTTCAGTAGTTGTGGTTTGTGGGCTCTAGAGTGCAGGCTCAGTAGTTGCGGCACACGGGCTTAGTTGCTCTGCGGCATGTGGGATCTTCCGGGATCTTCCTGGACCAGGGATCGAACCTGTGTACCCTGCACTGGCAGGTGGATTCTTAACCACTGTGCCACCAGGGAAGTCCCTAGTGTGTATATCTTTCTATCTAGAAGTTCTTTATCATTTTTCTCTAACATTTTTAGAACTTATTTTCTAGCTCTTGTGCATTTCCCCCATCCTGTCCATTCACCTGCACTGTCACTATATATATATATTGCAGCTATCTGTATGTCTTTCCTTCATGATGCTCCAAATTTGGCCATCTTCCAAGTCTTTAACCCAGGAAGCCCCTGCCTGCCTACAGGCCCTACACTGTCAGCTGCCATTCCAAAAGGGCAGCACTTGGGACCACAGCACTGGATACAGCTGCCTACTCTTTTCTGCAGGATAATCAGATCCCACCCCATCATGCCTCCTGGCCTCTATTATTGTTCATATATGTTATTCCCTATATGCCCTAATGGGAACCTCTCTTCTCCCTTCCAATCCTTTTCTGGTGCCCTCTGCCATTCTCTGGCTTTGATCAGTAACTCCCCATATGCTCAATTGCTCTGAAGCCTCCCTCCAGCTCCTGGCCTTCACTGAAGCCTTCCTCTCCAGGAAGGACACCACCCTTGAGTGGGTTTTTCTTCTTCCTCATCCACCCCAATACTAGAAATAGGGTGTACTCTTGCCCACTTCAAGCCCATTATGCCCCCTTCCCACCTGCAATCACTAGTGCTCTTTTGAGCACCAAGGGCCTTACACCTGTCGCCCCTCCCAACTGATTGATAGAAGCCATAATGCATAAATTCTCATCTTCTAACCTCCATGTGAAAAAGCTACACACACTTAACCATCCTATCTTTAAGGTTTAACCCTAAGTCAGTCCCACCTCTAATGACAAGCCCATACTTCAGCTCTTTTCTGATTTAGAGATCTTTTTTTGGGGTCCTCAAGTGCTATTTTTTTTTTTTTTTTTACTGTTTTTGTTCACCTACAGCAATAGGCTTCAGAAGCTGGCTGCTCTGTTGCTTTCGTGCACCTCTTTTAAAGTTTTAGGTCATAAATTCAAAGCAATAAACTTTAAGAAAATTTTTATTTTCAAAGTTAGTTATTGCATAAAAAGTATTAGTATATAGATAAGTTATTTAGAAATGATTCTTCTGGGTTAGATTGTTTACCAGGGCAGAGCTAGAATTGAGCCAGTAAAGTCCACACTTAGGAAGTCTGGCCTCATAGGAAGGGATTCTTACTGTACTGAAAGGAAGCCAGATGAAGCCGAGATTTGAAGCGCTCAGCTTCCAATTCCCGGAAGAAAGCATCATCGTCGTTCTGTGTTATCATGTACTGCAGCTGTTGAATTTCCTTCTCCATCTTAGATCTCAGTTCCCTCTTCACCTTATACAACATCTAAAAGAGAATTCATGTCATCCTGCTATTCACAACATTGATCCAGGCCCTCATGTATTTTTATTCCCTCTCCACCTTCCTGCTCATCAAGCTTCTGCAGTAATTTTAATAATTTCTCAGCAGCTCTTACGGAGACCTGAACAGGTAAAATCACAGAATACGTGTTTTGAATTGTAGATCGGTCTTATTAGTATCCTCTCCATTCCCCTTAAAAAGTGTAGTACAGTTGTTTTCCATTTCTTAAAAATGTAAATAAATGATTTCTATCTTGTTAATGATTACCTGGGCCTGGGATTTCTCTCTGGCTTTGAGCCCTTGACGTTCCTGGGATATGGCTTCTGCCAGCAATGAAAACTGTTTACAGGGAAGAGAAAAAACCTTATATTTGTCTGTGGTCTAAATGTAACAATTCTTATGTTCACAGGCTTAAAATCTTCTTTATTTTAATGGAAATAGGGCAATATTCTGTACTGTGGTCAAGCACTAGCTTATTTTACCTTAAATTTCAGTCAGTCCAACCTGTATAGTGACAAGTTCCAAATTAATATGTGGAGGCTTACTTGTTCAGCAGACTAAGCTGATGTCTGACACCGGGCAGTCAGGATTAAGCACGTCAGAATGTAAACTAGCAGCGGTGAACCCACCTGGTCTTTATAGTAGTTCTCCATTGAGTCCAGTTCATTTTGATGCTGTCTCTTTTGTTCATCTCGCTTTTCTTTGGCATAGTTTCTTAGGTCTCGTAATCTTTGCTTTTGAATTTGTAAACCTTCTTCAAACAGTTTCTTAAATATCTGCCAGTTATTTAGTTAGAAAAATAGTGAATTTTCATGGAGGAATAAAATTCTGCCCAACTAGAGGTATGTAAAAAAATCTCTGTGAACTACAATCAGTATAAAGTAACAGCTTTATTGAGATGTAATTCACATACTACAAAGTAACGGCTTTGAGATATAATTCACATACTATAAAATTCACCCTTGTAAGATGTATAAATCAGTAGATTTTACTATATTCAGAGTTGTGCAACCATCACCGCTAACTGCAGAACGTTTTCTTCACTCCAAAAAGAAACCCCATAACCATTAGCAGCCACTCCCCTCCCCCTCCCCCTAGCAATCACTACTCCACTTTCTATGCCTATAGATTTACCTATTCTGGACATTTCATATAAATGGTATCATATAGTATGGGGCCTTTTGTATTTGGCTTCTTTCACTTAGCATAATTTTTCAAGGTTCATCTATATTATAGCATGAATCACTATGAAATTCTTTTTTTTCATTGCCACATAATACTCTACTGTATGGATATATCACACTTTATCAATTCACCAACTGATAGACGTTATTTCCTCTTCTTGGCTGTTATAAATAGTGCTGCTGTGAACATCTGTGTATAGTTACCTAGGAGTAGAAGTGCTGAATTATATGTTTAACCTTTTGAAGAACTGCCAGACTGTATTCCAAAGTGGTTGCACCATTTTATAACCCCACCAGCCCTGCATGTGTGTTCCAACTTCTCTACATCCTTGCCAGCACTTTTTTATTTTAGCCATCTTAGTGGGTGAGAGTTTATCTCATTGTGGGTCTGATTTGTATTTCTTAAATGACTAATGGTATTCAGCATCTTTTCCTGTATCCCAAAGATTCTTTACTACTTTCAGAAAAGAACTCTCAAGCAGCCATGTATATAGGAAAAGAACCCTAGAGTAGAAACAAACACTGCATGTACACAGCTGAGGGCCATGTGGTTATCATCTAACTAGGCCACAGGTATACAAACTGTTCAAAGGATTCGGATATGCTCACTTGTCCTCCACTGATTGATCAAGAATTCTTACTAAGGTACAGTCATGCATTCATCAGCCGGCAGTATTACCTTACTGTCAAATTACTTAACATCTCAAAGCCTTAGTAGTATCCTCTAGAAATGAGGATAATACTATGACCCACTTCAGAGTATTGAGTCCCGTTAAGTATATTACCTTAATGTTTTACTCTAGAGATGAAATTTATTGCTAGTTTGGAATCCCAAGCTTGATTAGGATGAGATAGCAAATACCTTGTGGAAAGATCTCACAGCATATCTGTCCTACATTATTTTCCTGGTTTTGAGTGGAATCCGAGGTCATCTAATCACACCTTAAATTCCTGTCTGTCTCTTAACAACATGCTCCCAAACCCCTAAAGCAGGTGTCCTGGAGAAGTACCGACACTTGGGACGTCAGAGGGAATTAAGACCTCACATTAAGATAAGGACAGTAGAGAAATACAGATGAAGAGGCACATGAAAAGATGCTCAACTTCACTAATTATTAGAGAAATGCACGTCAAAACTACAATGAGGTATCACCTCACACCAGTCAGAATGGCCATCATTAAAAAGTCTACAAATAGGGCTTCCCTGGTGGCACAGTGGTTGAGAGTCCACCTGCTGATGCAGGGGACATGGGTTTGTGCGCCAGTCTGGGAAGATCCCACATGCCACGGAGCAGCTAGGCCTGTGAGCCATGGCCGCTGAGCCTGCGCGTCCAGATCCTGTGCTCCGCAATGGGAGAGGCCACAACAGTGAGAGGCCCACGTACCCAAAAAAAAAAAAAAAAAAAAGTCTACAAATAAATGCTGGAGAGGGTGTGGTGAAAAGGGAATCCTCCTACACTGTTGGTGGGAATGTAAGTTGGTGCACCCACTATGGAAAACAGTATGGAGTTTCCTCAGAAAAACTGAAATCAGAATTACCATATGATCCAGCAATTGCACTCCCAGGCATATATCTGGACAAAACTAATTTGAAAAGGTACATGAACCCCCTGTGTTCACTGCAGCACTATTCACAATAGCCAAGACATGGAAACAACCTAAATGCCCATCAACAGATGAATGGATAAAGATGTGGTATTTATATACAATGGCATATTACTCAGCCATAAAAAAGAACAAAATAATGCCATCTGCAGCAACATGGATGCAATTAGTGATTATCATACTAAGTGAAGTCAGAAAGACAGATACCATAAGATACCACTTATCTGTGGAATCTAAAATATGACACAAATGAACCTATCTACCAAACAGAAACAGACTCACAGACATAGAGAACAGACTGGTGGCTGCCAAGGGAGAGAGGGCTGAGGGAGGGAGTTGGGGGAAGGATGGAGTGGGACATTGGGGTTAGCAGATGCAAGCTTCTATATATAGAATGGATAAACAACAAGGTCCTACTGTATAGCACAGAGAACTATATTCAGTATCCTACAACAAACCCTAATGGAAAAGAATATATAAAAAATAATGTGTATATAGATGTATAATATATATACATGTATAATATGTATAATATATTCATATATATATGAATCACTGCTGTATAGCAGTAATTAACACAACATTGTAAACCAACAACAATTAAAAAAAAAAGACAAGGGCAGGAGAGACAGAGTAGACTGGGATGCACTATGGGGGTAATAAAATGAGGTGTGGGCAAGTCTGAACTCTAGCCAGCATTTTGGACTTGCATTTGGATTTTGGATTCACACTGGGACAAAAGTCACAAAGAAGGTGGTCCTAAAAAGGTAACAGACAAAAATTTACCTTCTTAACTGGATTGGACAGAAAAGCAATATTTACCATTTCTTCCCGGGTCCTCATCCTCATCAGTTTTGAATGCAACTGAACTCTATAATCATCATAATATTTTCGGGCACGAACAGTCTGCTGCCGATTTTCTTTTATCTTTGATTGGGTCAACTTCTGCCTGTGAATGTGGTCCTTGAAGTCTTGCTAAGAAAGGGAAGGGGAAAAAGAGGTAAGGACAAGAGGAAGACAGACTCCGGTGTTCTCATCTGTCCCACTCCCCAACACGATGTCTTCAGGCAGTCAGCTGGGTATGGAGGGCCAGTAGCCTGCTGGCTGGGCATAGAGTGTGAAAGCCTGTCCATCCCCAGAAATCCTTTAGTCTTTAGTAGGTTCATCACCTCAGTCAGAAGGCTGCCCCACAGTCCCATGGTTAGGACTCCATGCTCCCACTGCAGGGGGTGCGGTTCAATCCCTGGTCAGGGAACTAAGATCCCATATGCTGTGCAGCCAAAAAAAAAAAAAGAAAAAAAAAAAAAAAAAAAAGAAAAGCTGCCCCAATAAGCCCCCAAGGCTGCAGAGAGCAGCAACAAATCCTCATGGACTGAGAATCTCATCTCCCCATTTCACCAGGGAGTCATCTAAGCCATACCCAGATGCCTGCTTAAAAGTAGTAGAAAACTGGCACCCTCAAAGATGTTCAAGCAGAGTTTGAGTTAACAGAAGTATCTATATCAAAACTAAGGAAATCAGGTGATAGCAAAGTAGTGAGGGTGAAATGAAATCATGTACACAAAGCCTTCAACTAGGTGTCCAGACACTTGTTTTCTTTTCCCCCACACCAGAGTCCCACATGCAGTTCCTGATGGCTTCCCCTTCTTTCTCTGGAACTACTTAGAATTATAGTTCTCATTGCTTATCTCTATACTCAAGTTTCTTCCTCTGGCTTATTGTCTTTGATCTCTGTCCTCCCCCTTCATGATACTCAGAGGATAATGTTGTACTATGTACGATTCTCAGTCCAAATTATAATGGAGGCATAGACAACCTCAGCTTTCTATTTGGGACCTGAGGAAGAAAAGAGAGGACAAAAAACACTAAGTTATAACCACCTGGTACCTCAAAGAGACTTGGAGGTAGAGACAGACCTGGATTAAAATCTCAACCTTGCCCTTGCTGATTATGGTGGGACCCAGGGCAAGTTAATATCTCAAAGCTTCAGGTTTTCCATTTCATAGAAAACGTTTCTATTATATTACTATAAAGACTAAATGAAACTGTGTATATAAAGTATCTAGTACCTTAACCCTCTCATCAATTTTGGTTAAAGACCTAAATGCTTCCACAGGTTAAGTGTAAGAGGTATGAGTCAGTGGGGATATTGCCCAGCTGGTACAAATAAAAGTAATTAATATAACTTACCAGTCTCTTGTTATGTTCATATTCTTTCTTGATAAGCACAGTAAGGAGGTCGTGCCTTCTCAAGGCTTCTTCTATCTTTAAGTGGGGTACAAGGAAAACGAGGTTAATAATTCTATTCACTAGATTATCAAGGATAAGCTCTGCCCCTTTTTGGTTTATACTCCTATGCTTAATTGAAAATTATCTTACTTCATCCTGGAGTTTCTTCTTTGATCGATTTTCTCTATATGCATCTTTTTTGAGCTGTTCAACCTGTGCAATTTGCTGTTTCCACATTTTGCTTAGCGTTTGACCAGAAACATAGAGAAATGGAAACTGCTCCAGCATCAGGGGCAGGAGACCGTGTTCATTTCTCAGCAAAGAAAAAAAAAAAAAAAAAAAAAAAAAAAAAAGATGCTCTTAATCTGAGAAACTCACTGACAGCTTTTAAGAAGAAATCTCATCCCACCTTCCTGGGAGATCAAAGCCTATCTAAGTGATGTGGTTCTGAGCCTGAAAAGAACAATTCTAAAAGTGTGTTATTACTTTTGCATTCCTTCTCTGATTGGGATAGCCAATTACTAGTAAGGATGAAAATAACCTCAACATTTCTGACTGATGACATGCTGGTTTTGTGAAGTCCATCCTAACTGCTCAGCTGATTCAGCGCCTGGGGTGGATGCTGTGTGTGTGGTCAAACTGCCTCCCAGGAGGGCTGAGGAGTCTAAGTCTCTGATGGGATGTAGTTAGAAGGCCAGTGGTCTTTGAAACTGTACCCTGGCACCAACTGTCAATATAACAGGAGCTGGACAGGCCCTCTGCTTGCTTTGGAGCATCCCTTTAGTTCTACCAACTTCCCAGAAACAAAAGACAACCAGCATGAGTGAGCAGAGTGAAGCTAAAGCTGGAACAGCTGGTCACAGCCATCACATTCCTCTGGTGCCAATATACTGGTATATATTTAAGAGTTTTAGAGAAATTCCTCATTAAGAGTTTTATCTCTCTTTACAGAAATCTAGCATATGGCAGTGAGAGAAGAGGGAACCTTCTCCAGCTGACTGGTAGATGCTGGTTCTCAGTGCTGTGTCCTTGGCATGTAGCACACACTTTCAAAGGATGCCAGTTTTCCATAAAGTACAATTTTGTGGTTCTTACTTGGAACTGCTTTATTTGGCTTTGGCAAGCCACCTCTTGGACCTGGAGTTGTGGTTTTTCTAGAGTAAATCTTCCAGGGCTGACTGTGTTTTGGAGTTCCTTTATGAACAGTTTCTCTATATATTTTTTCCTTAGGAGCAGATATAAAACAGAATAGAAATGAGAAGTCTAATAACTCTTTCATACATCATCTTAAATATTACATAGGGACAAAAATAGCTAACATAATCCCCAGCCAAACCACCTTACTTCAAATTTCTACAGTCTGGGGATTTCCCTGGTGGCACAGTGGTTAAGAATCTGCCTGCCAATGCAGGGGACACGGGTTCGAGCCCCAGTTCAGGAATATCCCACATGCCGCAGAGCAACTAAGCCCGTGCGCCACAACTACTGAGCCCATGTGCCACAACTACTGAAGCCCATGCACCTACAGCCCGTGCTCCACAAGAGAAGTCCCACACCACAATGAAGACCCAACACAGCCAAAAATAAATTACTTAATTAAAAAAAAAATTCTACAGTCTGGTTATTTACCTACTCTAAGTTAAATGCCTCTTTAGTTTCTGGCATCCTCTGGAGTTTGAAAAAGCATTGAATCTTTTTCAAGTTTCATAGTTGCCATAGCCCCACACCCTAAATACAACTACTAATGATGTTCTGATGTACTTGCTTCTTTTGACAACCTTTTCCACGTAGATTAAAAAAGTTCTTAAACGATGTTGTTTTAACCACACCATATGCTATATTCTGTTTTGTTTATGAACATTTTAGCATAAGCATTTTCTCCATGCTTTCATTTAGCTTCTGTAACTACTCTTTTGAAAGGCAACGAAACTTATGCTTTGGGTGTCTTCCAACCAGGCACGGAGCAACTGGGATTTCCTGTCTTCTTTTACTCTCCCTCTTTAACTTGTCAGCCTAGACTATCTTTTAAAGCCTTGGTGAACTAATAAGCAGTAGAAGCCCTTAAAAACTGATGGAAGTTTTAGGCAGGAGGGAAAAATACTAGTTTTGGGTACCATGTCTTGCCACATTTTAGCAACTTGCCTACCTATGAATAAAAGAAAATCCCACATCATGAAATGATATTCTGCTTTTTTCTAAGGGGCTAATAATGATTAAGGCCCTGCTGATTTTTTTCCTTTTAAGAAGATCATCTCTGTACTTTCCACTGATCTGATCAAATGGCATTTATTACAGTAGAGACTTTTACCCACTGTTTCCTCCTTGTCATTTATTCCTAGAGGTCCAATATTCTCTTGAACTTTATTTCTTCTTAGTTCCTTTTCAAATGCTTCAGTTATTGCCTACAGGGGAAAAGGCCATATGATATTATAGTTACTAAAAACATACAAATGAAAATGAAGGAAAAAAAATCAATCTAAGATTCTGCCATTCCATTCACTTTTTTAAAGTTCCTTTCAGGCTATATATATCATTAAATATACATTATTTAACAGATATGTAATTGGGACAAAACACAACTTTACATACTTTTTTTGTTCTCACAGTTCCTGTAATTATTTTGATACACACTTGAGTGGAAGTTACATGTTTGAGTTGAAGTTACATGTTATTTTAAGACATCTAAATTAGTTTGTTTTCACCATTATAAAACATACTGTAGCAAACAACTTAAGTGTTCTAAATTTATGCTACATTTCAATATCCCTATTCCACAGTAGAAAGTCTTCCTTAGTAATCATACATTCTCCTGTTGAACCCTAAGAGGAGGGGTCTCATTCCTATTTGGGCATTTTCATCCTATCTGTAATTCAAATAGCCAGTCACATTTAATCCACCTCAAATTCTCTTCATTTCTAAAGCTCTCTCTGAAAATGCCTGTCTACACTGATAATACTTTCTTAACCCACTAGAGTACTGACTAAGCTATATCTAATAAGGTTAGTTTTTTTAGAGTTTCATGAGTACAAGTTTTATGTTCCCTAATGGGGGACGTAAAAGCTATGTCACATAATTTTGTCATCCACTTAGCTCAAGAATATTAAATGCATTTTAAGCCTTTAGTCAACAGCATGTTCACTGTAGCATTTGGCTAAGGTAAATGGTAATGCCTGCTGCCCAATGGCGGTCAAGAGATGGGATATACCTTTGCTTGAAATTGGCGGGTATCTGTTTCTTTTGGCTTTCGCTGCCTTTTTCTCTCCATATGGAACTGTTTGTTTTTGTTAATTGGAGATGTAGAAAGTGAATGAGATCGGGAGGGTGGCTTTCTATGCATGGCAAGTCCTACAACACAAGAGAGACATGTACCATCAATTTCTGACAGTCAGAAATGTTAAGTGGGCACCAAATAGTTGACTGTTACCAAATCCAAAGAGACTATGGATGTGCTAAATGTACTCTCTCCTATAACTAATTTCTGTTTGTTTATATGTTTAATCACACCAAGCAAACGGACTAATGCACATAATGTGTACTCAAAATGTCTCAAAGAAGTACTAAGGTTCTATATTCAATTTTGGGTTGAAAATGGTGCAACATGTGGAATGCCTGCTGCACACAAAGCCCTATACTTAGTACTCGTGGTGGTGGAGGCGAAAAAGCCATCTGAGCTGTATGTCTGCTATCCTTTGACCGATCTAGGTCCTGAGGAGGGGGCTGTAAGTACATATACACATCCTTATAAAGCAGAATGCTTATATGCAAAGGTTACTGTAGCTTAGCATTTTTAAGCAGTCCTGTTCTTCCCTACTTAGCAGTCTAGTCCTCCTAATTCCATACTGCCTAAGAGATCTAACGAATTACTTCCCTCCGCAAACCTTTTTATGTTCCATCGTTTATAAATATGCTCAGGAATCTGCTAATTGTGAGGAGGGGGACTCCATGCCTTTTTGGAAAAGCAAATAATTCAATATAGCTCTAAGGTCAAGGAAATTTGATACCCTTCTAAATAAATTTTCCCAGAAAATTAAAATGTCCCTGAGCTTTTTTCTCTTCACTCTCTTTTAATTCAAATCTTTCAAATTAATTTAAAACTTAAAGATGTTAAGTTAAACTGACTTGCACGATCTATTTTAAATGATGTTTTAATAACACTTTTACTATGTCCACAATGTATTCTTCTTTAGAAACTGAAGAGCCAATAAAAATAACATTTTAACTTATAATGTGTTTTTAAGATGGGATACAATGTACATGTCAGGGAAACATGTACGTTACTGGATGAGGGTTCCTAGAGATTACCTGCGTCAAATTTAAGGGAAGACAGACGAAATAATCAAGAGAACGAAAAAGTACTCTTGGAGTAAGGAAAACAAAACAAAACTGAAAAGTTAAGGAAATTTTGGATGAGAAATAGATTGCTTCTAGAGAAACAAGAGATGACCAAAGTCGATAAAAGTGAATGGAAAACATGCAAAATTTTAGTTGGTGGAAGACAGGATAATTATTTGAACAAGCAGTAGGAAACATCTGCAAGGATGTGGCAAACCAGAAACCGTCATGCATTGCTGATATGAGTACAAACTGGTGCAATCACTTTGGAGGGGAATTTGGCAATGGTGAAAAAGTGTAAACTCCTAGGTCTAGCAATTCTAGTAGATATAGATCCTAGAGAAACTTCTGCACATATTTACAGGTTGTTCATTGCAGAACTGTTTGCAGTTATGAAATCTGGAAACAATCTATATGTCCTGCAATGGTGGGGGGGACATGTATGTACATAAATAAAAATACATACTCGGGCTTCCCTGGTGGCGCAGTGGTTGGGGGTCCGCCTGCCGATGCGGGGGGCACTGGTTCGTGCCCCGGTCGGGGGGGATCCCGCGTGCCGCGGAGCGGCTGGGCCTGTGAAACATGGCCGCTGGGCCTGCGCGTCCGGAGCCTGTGCTCCGCGATGGGAGAGGCCACAACGGTGAGAGGCCCGCATACCGCAAAAAAAAAAAAAAAAAAAAAAAAATACACACTCATACAAATGGGGTACACTGTATGAACTCAGTTATGCAGTAGTTAAAATGAAGAACTGGAAGTATCAACATAGATTTTTAAAACAATGTTAATAGAAAAAAAGTTGCAGAATAACATATATCTGTATATTAAAAAAACATAAAACAATAGTTTAGACAAGTAACAATGCTATTAAAGTATAAAGACAGGGATGAGATGGTCCAGTTCAAGATGGCAAAACAGAGGCTCCTGAACTCACCTCCTCCCACAGACACTGAAACCTACACTAAATATGGAATAATTCCCTCTGAAAGGAATCCAGACACTAGCTGAGTGACACATGAGAAAAAACCCACATCAAAAAGGGTTGTGGCACACCTTAATCTACTAAGAGCCATTAAGAATGAAGAAAATGGTTTGGACAAACACAGATTTGAGAACCAACCAAGAGCTAGGGATGGGCTGAATGATAAGAGTCATCTCCTATGCAAGACTACTCCTTCGAGACTGGGAGAGTGGCTGTTTTATCTAATGCACAGAAACCAACACAGTCAGGAAAATGAAGAGACACAAGAATACGTTCCAAACAAAAGAACAAGATAAAACTCAAGAAACAGATTTTGATGAAATAGATAAAGGATTTACTTGACAAAGAGTTCAAAATAATGGGCATAAAGATGCTCACTGAGGTCAGGAGAACAATGAGAATTTCAACGAAGTGAGAATTTTAATGAAGAGAAAATATAAGAAAGTACCAAACATTAAAAAATCCTTTTAAAAAATAAAAAAAAAATTTAAGTACCAAACAAATCACAGAGCTAAAGAATACAATAATGGAGGTTGAGAGTCCGCCTGCCAATGCAGGGGACACAGGTTCGGGACCTGGTCCCGGAGGATCCCACATGCCATGGAACAGCTAGGCCTGTGCACCACAGCTGCTGGGCCTATGCTCTGGAGCCTGCGTGCCTGGAGCCTGTGCTCTGCAGTGGGAGAAGCCACCGCAGTGAGAAGCCCACACACCGCAATGAAGCATAGCCCTTGCTCACCACAACTAGAGAAAACCTGCGTGCAGCAACAAAGGCCCAATGCAGCCAAAAATAAGTAAATAAATTTAAAAAACAAAAAAGAATACAATAATGGAGTTCAACAGCAGACTAGGTGAAGTGAGAGAAAGTATTAGCCAACTTAGGGCAATGGAATTCATCTAAACAGAAGAGCAAAAAGAAAAAACAATGAGAAAAAGTGAAGATGACTTAAAGGACTCCATCAAGTGGACCAATATTCACATTATAGGGATCCCAGAAGGAGAAGGGAGAAAGTGGCAGAAAGCTTATACAAAGAAATAATGGCTGAAAACTCCCCTAATCTGGGGAAAGAAACAAGACATGCAGATCCAAGAAGCTCAGAAACTTTAAAATAAGATAAATCCAAAGAGACCCACACTGAGACATATTATAATTAAACTGTCAAATTTAATTTGAGAGACTCTTAAAAGCAGTAAAAGAAAAGCAACTTGTTATGTACAAGGAAACCCCTATAAGACTATCAGTAGATTTTTCATCAGAAACTTTGCAGGCCAGAAGAGAACAGCAAAATATATTCAATCTGCTGAAAGAAAAACTGCAACCAAAAACACTCTACCCAGCAAAGCTGTCCTTCAGAATTGAAGGAGAGGTAAAGAGCTTTCCAGACAAGCAAAAGCTGAATGAATGAGGAATTCATCAACATTAGTACAGCCTTACAAAAAATTTTAAAGGGACGTTTTTTTTTTGGCTGCACTGCACCGTGCGGCTTGTGGGTTCTCAGTTCCCCAAGCAGGGATTGAACCCAGGCCACGGCAGTGAAAGTCTGGAATCCTAAACACTAGGCCACTCTGTTAAAGCGAGTTTTTCAAGCTGCAATAAAAGGGTGCTAATTAGTAACAAGAAAACATAAAGTATAAATCTCATTGGTAAAGATAAATAATTATTTAAATTCAGAATACTCTAATGTTATAATGGTGGTAAGTCATATACCAAATCTAGTATGAAGACTGACAAACAAAAATAGTAAAAATAACTATAACTACAATAATTTGTTAATGTATACACAAGGAAAAAGAATGTAAAATGTGGCATCAAAAACATAAAATGAAGGGAAAGTAAAAATGTAGAACTTTAATGTGTGTTTCAACTTATCACCTTAAAATATGCTCTTATAAATATGTTTTATATAAGCCTTATGGTAACCACAAAGCAGAAACTTAGATATACAAAACAAAGAGAAAAATCTAAGCTACTATTAGGGAAAATCCTCAAGTCACAAAGGAAGACAGCAAGAAAAGAAGAAAGGAACAAAGGAATTACAAAGCAGCCAGAAAACAATTAACAAAATGACATTTAGACCATATCAATCAGTAAATAATTACTTGAAATGTAAATGGACTAAATTCTCCAATCAAAACACACTGAGTAGCTGAATGGATTAAAAATAATAAAAGACCCAACTATGCTGCCTACAAGAGACTCCATCTTTAAGGACACACACAGACTAACAGTGAAGGGGTGGGAAAAGATATTCCATACAAATGGAAACCTAAAGAAAGCCGGTGTAGTAGCTATACTTCTAACAGACAAAATAGACTCTAAAACAAAAACTATAATGAGAGACAAATAAGATCATTATACAATAATAAAAGAGTCAATTCATAAAAAGAATATAATTTTATGTAAGTTTTTTGCACCTAAATAGGAGTACCTAAATATATAAAGCAAATATTAACAGACCCAAAGGGAGAAATAATAGTACAGAAATAGTAGGGGACTTCGATTCCCCACTTTCAGCAGTGGATAGATCACCCAGACAGATCAATACGGAAATACTGGACTTAAATTACATGTTAGTCCAGATAACTTAACAGACATTTACTGAAAACTCTTATGCCAAAGCAGCAGAATACACATTCTTCTCCAACGCACATGAAACAATCTCTGGGACAGATCATATGTTAGGCCACAAAACAAGTCTTTGAAAATTCTAAATGACTGAAATCATATCAAGCATCTTTTCTGACCATGATAGTATGAAACTAGAAATCAATTACAAGAAGAAAATGGGAAATTCACAAATACATGGAGATTAAGCAATATCATACTAGCCAACCAGTGGGTCAAGAAATCAAAAGAGAAATTTTTAAAATCTTAAGAAAAATGAAAATGGAAATACAATATACCAAAACTTATGGGATGCAGCAAAAACAGTTGTAAGAGGAAGTTCATAGCAATAAATGCCTACATTAAAAAACAAAGATATGACACCTAAAGTCAAGCACCAAAATAAACAGGTGGAACTATATCAAAGTA